CCGATCTTATGCACCGATCCTTCCATATGTTTTGCAGCTTGCCATATTTTTCTGATGCCAGTCAGATACGCTGATTCACTTCAGGATAAATTTTGCCGTCGTCAGTCATACAGTTCTGTTGTACTTTATATATGGTTCAGGTGGTCAGTATTCGTTATGTTTAGTAACTTTTTTATCAAACTCGTTCTTAAATAATAAGGTTTTTCAAAATACTTTTTTAGATATGCTTCATGTGTGGGAAAAGTAGCAATCTCTGACTTATAATGTTAGCAGTGTTAACAGTATTTATTATAGTACTATTAGTACATATATTAATATTAGTGCTGTTGATAATATTTTTATTATTATTAATATTATCATAAATGACTATTACCAATACTGATTTTGTTATTGGTACTAACAATGAAACTGTTAACAGTTACTGGAAATCTTAGTACAATGGTACTGACGGCTTTGGCGATAATTTAATGATAGTGTTAAAGTCAGTATTTTTTAATGCTAACCGTTACAGGCATTGCTCTTACCTTTACTCAATCATTCAGTCAGTCAGTTCTGTTGCTGTAGCTGATAGTTGGTATATGCTTTTCAGCAGTTTCAGAGACATGGATAATGGGTGAAATCTGCAGAGCAAGGATAAATTATGCATCAACCATTCAGTATAAGCGGATCTCCAGCTCGTCTTTAAATGTCTGGGGGTTAGCCGAATCCGGACCAAGTGAGGTACGACTGAGCGCCGAAACAGCTCTGTCCGAAAGTACGAAGTGTTTATTTCTGCATGCGTCACATCTCCTTTCGATCTGCAGCCGGCGACAATGTCAGGTGTATGATCTATCGGATCATTAAGGATCCTGCTATCAAGGATTTCGATAACAGAAAACACTTTCCACGTCCTTTGCCACCAGATCGTATCCATTTCCGTATTCAGGTTTTTATATTTCAATATCTCTCCTCACCGTAACAAAACTAAGACGGTTGTAGCCCTGAGCAGCGCGTGCTACAGCAACGATTTGTGTCTGCCTTTCCGATTTGCGACCAATGAGCCGATATTTCTTTTCAGTTCGTATTCGGAAGTTAAGCAGTATTTTCACTTCTTCAGTCTGTTTCACCTTTTGACTGAATTTTTCCATAATTTTTTGCTATCGGTAACTCTGCCTTTCGTTTGCGTAAATGCCAATAGGTTTTAATACATTACTGTTGTGCCTTTTTTCATCGGTGAGCGTTTG